TAATAGATTTGTGAATATAATTCGTTCACTTCGATGTAAGATAATTATGTATACAAATGATGGTAAATGTCGTCTAATGGAAACATCAATTGAATTCGATGTAAGGGTTTTTTGTTATTTTTGATAAATAAAATATTGATCCAATGAAACAATAAAACATTGAATAGATTTTTCTATGAAATGGAAAAATTATCTCAAAATAATGAATGAAGATTATTTTTAGTTTTTGTTTGACTAATATTGGCACGAGACTTAGATGTACTCGATTAAAAGTTGAATAAATCAAGAATACAAGCAGCTAGCGATCTACAATTTTTGTCAATTGAAATAAAAGACATAGGAATGTTTTTTTTTCCACAGAGAATGAATAAGATAAAGTCAGTTTTGGGAGTAATGATTTTCGAAAAACATTGAAAAAGTGTATGAAACTAGCCTGTCATTTCGATGAAATTTTTCATCTTACATACTGAGGTTTGAGATCTATAGCTCTAGAAACAATTTGAATGGTTATCTTCTGGCATCCTAGTGCTGAGCAAATAAAATTATGCATCTGTCCGATCGAATAATATGGAATTGTGTTAATTATTTAGGACATTTTTCTGTTACTGAAATTTCATTGAAATGACAGAGTATTTTCATACGGTTTTTTTCAATGTTTTACGGAAATCATTGGTTTCAAAATGATTTTATCCTATATATTATCCATGAAAAAAGACATCTCCATGTCTACTTTGTCAATGGTTGAAAATCACAGATCGATAGCTGCTTACGTTCTCGACTTACTAAGTGTCACGTAGACATTAGCCACTATCTTTATATACGGTATTGGTACAGTCTTCCTAATCTATTGCATTTTTTGAGGGTATGAAAAATTCCGATTTCTGGATAATTCAAATTTCTGCATATCATTACTGTAATGAATGATACAAACTAAAGAATACTGCTGCAAGGCTCTAGATTCAATGTCGGTGATGTATAGGTAATAATTCATTTTTACACAATTCAATTGAGGAGATATAACTCCTAGTTTAGCGTTGAGTTCGGCTGGAAAAATCATTTTTTTTATGAAACCTAGATAGAATGTGGGTGAAGACAAAAGTCTTACACCCACACCCTGGTAGAGCCCACATTATATCGAACGGTCTACCGACGGTTTTAATCCGGTTCAAGTCACAAGGGATCACATAAACGATCAGAATAATCTTATTAATCATAAGAAAATTCTATGAATAAAACTTATAATGAATATTTTTTGCTTTTAGTTTACTCACATAAATGGAACGAAAATTTCTGTTTATCGAAAAAATCTGGAACATCTTGATTCTCCATTAGAGATTAAACTAATTGATTCATCTGGTCGAATGACGTCAATATTTAATTATAATGATTGCGTTGAACAACTTAATGTACCACTTGATACAAAACAAATGTTACACAAAGCAATTAAAGTATGTCGACTTACGATGAAGACTTTCTCGGATGTTGCCTTTCGATTTCAACGATTATTTTTTAAAACATTCATATCTTGAAGAGCTTTTTTTGTGAAAGCTAACCACTAATTGAGTTTTCTCTATGCGCAAAGTTGCAGACTATAGCTCGAAAAATACGAGCTTTTCGAAAATCTGGAGTGTCTATTATATAGACGTATTAAAAATTCGATAACTTAGTCAGAAAGTTCTCTCATTAGATGATTAAAGATATAATTTAATTTAATATGGTTTTCTTTTTAGTTTCGAGAATGTTGTTTAATAAAAAATCAATTACTTGAAGAACATCAAGCTCAATTTCCGGAAGGGAAAACGTTTCCAGCTATTTTTGGTGAAAAACCTCGGTTGTCTTCACATAACATATTGAAATAATTATTTTATCTTAAATTGATTCTAGAATATTATTTTTCTACATAGATATTTTTCTTTTTGTTTAACAAATATTTCTTTGTAGAAAAAAAAGAGAGAGAAACTCTTATCCTGTTTCTCATTGTCTGCTTAAATGATTGCTCTATTTTCTTTGTGTTAGAATTGTATATTTTGTTTTCGAATTAATAAATGAACAAAAAAAAAAAAAAAACTACCAGAGGAAGATGACAAATTAAGAAATGAATTGTTCTTTGCTATTTTATTATTTTTTTCTCGACAGGAAAGAAACAATAACATTTTGTTGAACAAGTCGTTTGTTTTAGGTTTTTCATTAGTTGATGGAATGTCATTTTCTGACAAATCTATCAATGAAATGGAGAAAATCTTTTCTAATTTATATGTAAAAAAAATGTTAGTTCAATTTTCAGTTACTTATATATCGTTGAAGTAAATCAAAAGTTGTCAATTAGAATCAGATTTTGATGTCCTTCGTAAACGTATGTTTAGAATTTCTCCTAACTGACCTCCCACGATTTTATCTTTCCATTGGATCAAATTTTTCTACTGATTTTCTTTCATGACAAAATTTTGACCTTTCATCTACATGTTCATGGATCTGCTTACATTCGTGATTTTTGTGTTTTCATCTGTTTCAATTATTCCTAACGTGAATGTCTTTCGAATTTGGTACATTGTCATGATTCTCTTTGAAATTCTTTCCTTTTGAGATCTTAATTATCAATAAGAATAACTCATATCCACTAGAAGATAGTATCACTTGTATTGTAACACAACACAAGAGAACTACACATGACTCTTTTATAATACACATTCTTTATACATACTTTGGAAAAATCAAAACTTCTATCTCGTCTTGTTTGCTTAGAAATTTTGTTTTTGGACTTCTGTCGTACAACGTTGGCAAACGTAAGCTTAATATGTGCTATTGTTAAATCCGTATAGAAATAACCTTGAGTATCAGTATCTTCAAGTAACTTCTTCTATCCGTTTTCAAAAATCTCGATACTTCCGTGTTTGACTGTAATTGAAATAACTGTACGTCACGCGAGAATTCGATAAATCCAAAAAAGTACGAACTAAACGTAAGCATTTCAAAGCAATTCGTCTATTGTAGCATTCTAGTTAAACTACTTAGGATTGAACAAAAATAGAATTTCTGTCTTTGAAAGACTATTTTGACATAGTACAGTGTGTCAATCGGACTAATTCCAACATGTTTTCTTCTCTCAATTGTTTTTTTTGTACGATGTTCAATTCCTTTTTCGTTCTTATGTCGCTCTTTCGTGTGTTTTTCATTCTATTAAGTATCGTTTTCTCTATACGTATATTCTATTTCTGTGTGGATGAGTATACTGTGCATGGCATCGTTATATTTCAAAGAAGAAATACATAGACTATGTAATAATCTTTATCCTTTCAATCTGATCATATATTATCATATTCACGTAACAACGAACTCGAAGATATTATCAACCGATCAATCATCAAGTTGTTTATTCATGAAACCCTACACTGAGCGGTTTTTTTTCTAAAAAAAAAACTTTTGATAAAAGAATCAAATACCATATCAATCGGCTTACTATCAGTCAAATTATCACAAGAAAAATCAATATATCTAATTTGGAATTATTTTCATCAATTTTAGAGATCAAAGATCAGCCTTAAGTGTAAAACTTAGAGTTAAAGCTCGATATCGAAAATACTACACTTTTTCTTTTCTCTTGACAGTAGATCCTCTGGATTCTAGCTTCAAAAATATTTTCTTGTGAAAATTTGACTGATAGTGAGTGAGAGTGAGCAGATCGAAATGGTATTTTATCCTTTTATAGAAAGTTTTTCAAAAAAACACTGCTCAGCGTGGAATTGCATGAATGAAGAATTTGAAGATCGAATTGATTAATAATATCTTCGAGTTGAATGACATTTGAAATGGGTTGGAAAATGTTTCATTAATACTCAGAAAAGTTAGATCTATGGATAAAGGTTGATAATGCAAGATAATGTTTGAACAAAAATGAGTTGATTTTAAAATTTATTTTATTTAAAATATCATCATCTATTCATTCAAATAAATTGAATGAACTTTCCTCAATTATATTTAATGAAATTTAAACTATACAACTTATATCATCAAATATTCAAAGATATTTTTATTTTATATAGAATTACTTTTGACAAAATCTCTTATTGATATATGATTTTCTAAGAATTGCCTTTTCTTTTCTAATTTCCAATTTGATTCAACATAATGCTTTAGAATTTAACAAAAGACCTTCAATTATTTACCCTTAGGCAATGTTTAGTCATATTCTCTAATGTTCTGTTAGAAATTTTCACGAATAGATACCATGCAAGCATATTAAGACTTGCTGTTACGAAAACTGTATTTGATTCCTAGTTGAAATGTATCATGAATGAAAAAAAATATTGATACTGTTAACAACGCTTCCGTAATTCAAAATGAATATATTAATCATTGTGATAATGATTTATTTATAGTGAAAAGCACGATCAATTGATTAAGAATTCAATTTTTATATCTATTGATACCTGTTGTAATGATAAAACTGTTTTTCTCAAACATCAAATACTTGATTTTTGCATTTTCGAGTAGGTAGCATGATCATTCACAACTACTATTCCTTCTTCAAAACTGCGAGATATATAAACAGAAAAATGTCCTTTGTATTGTTCTTATTTGATAGATTCATGAATTTATTGCAAAATTTCATGTACTCAGAAACATATAAATAATGTGAAACGTCGTGTAATCAAAATCAGAAAAATAAAAAGACAAAAGAAATTAATAATTCAATGAGAATTTTATTTAAGTTTCATTGTTAAATCAGCATACAAAGTCATAAAACTGATAGTATTAATTTTACTGGGAAAAATTTTCAAAACATGAAAGTAGAAAGCTATTTAAAACATTTGATGATGAATAAGAAAAGAAGAAAAAGAAATATTTTATAATCTTGTTTTATTCAATGAATAAAAAAAGATTATTAGTGCATTAATATATTAAAAAAATTGATTTGTTATATGATCAAAATTAAATGTTGTTTAGTTTTATTTAAATAATGATAAAATTATTCAACGACGGACAACATATTTTCTTTTATTTCAATCACTTCTTTTTAAACGAATGAGTCCCGGACGACGATATGCTGCTACTCGAGTATTAATTATATGATCAATCGGTGAATAATCCTTCATATCACTTTCATCATTTGGAACTGCTATTGATGCGAGTAATGTTTGGAGTCGTTGAATGCTATATGGATGCTTATGTTCAATACTTTCGTCAAGATGATCCATTTGTACTTGACCATCATCATCTAATGGATAAGCTTCCATATTACTGATGTTGATTGACAATACAACAGTAAAGAGTAAGACAAAAAGATTTCTTGAAGACATTATTGTGTTATAATATTTCAATAGCTGAAAAATACGATGTATTTTCTAGCAAAAAAAAGAAAGAAAAGAAATTCAAAAACACTATGACAATTTATATTATAGTTCTCTAAAAATTCATTTCCTGTAAAATACACATGAATCATGATTTGTATCTCTATTATAATATGTTATTTGATGAATATAACGGAAGAGAGAAAAAAACCATTTTTGAAATAGAAAATTCTCTTCTTATAAATAGTATACTAATGTAATTTTTGATAAAAACAAAAGATAGAATTGTCATACACTATTGATCTTTGATGTAGTAACACCAAATATTTCAAACATCAAATAGTTAGATTAATGCCCTACCTTTGTCTTAGAATGCATGTCTGACATGCACTTATTTTTATTTTATTTTTTGTTACTCCTCCACCTTTTATTTTCCTGATGCTTTGTGCTCAGTTTTCTATTTGAATTCTTTTTTTTTGAACTCTTTGTTCTACTTTATGGTGATTAGACTAATACATTAATTAGCTCTACATATTTACTTTATTGTAATATATAGCTCAACAAAGATATTGTCTCAATTGATAGCGAATTGGCTTTTCAGAACGAGCGAAATTAAGTGCATTTAGGAAGTTCAAATAATTCCGGAAATTTCATCTTCCTTTCTAATAGCTTTCAACATTAAAAACAATCAGCTATTCTATTAGACATGGTCTGCGAAGACATTTTAGTGTAATCAATGAAAAGTAATTAATACAAAATAGGAAAACAGTCTATGGAGAATAACTGTATGGCATTACCAATGAAAATCTGTTCTGGTACATTCACATTGATGCACAAATTAATCTTTATTTCTAAAGATAAACTATAGAGAAAAGCATGATTAAAGAACATACGGTGAACTACATCGATGAATTAAATCAAAACAACTACAATTCCTTTTTTTTTTGTCCATTGAAAATAAAGTACATTTATATTTTGGAACTTTCATATTGATTTATCTATCATCTTCTTATATGGAAAAATGAGTGATCGGAGAATACTTACACAAGATGATCTTAGTGGAAAATGTCGAAAAGGAAAACGTCGAAAGAGGAAAACGTAGAAAAAAATTAAGAGAGGAAAATGTCGAAGAGGAAAATGTCGATGAGGAAAATGTCGATGAGGAAAATGTCGATGAGGAAAATATCGAACGAGAAAAATGTCAAAAACTTAAACGACTAAAATGGACGAAATTGAAATGATTGCTCTATTCTTGTGATAGATGATAAACCACAATTTTTTTCACTACACACTCAATATATTTTAGAGGCTATTGTTTTGTTGCATCTGAATAAGTAATTACCATATATTATTAATGGTTTATCTTTGCTTGATGTAGCCAATGTTATCTCAAATTGCTGAGTTTTTAATGAACTGTTTTCAGAGGCTGTGTTTGAGATAATTTTGATGATATATCTATTTATTGTTAAACATTTTCTTTATTCGAAGGAAAATAAAATGCGCTGGTCGACGAGTGACCAATACAAACAAAAAGAATTGAATTTTATACTGACACATTTTAAATAATTCGATATTTTCATTTCTCATGTGTTTGCTCCTTCTTATTTCGACATTTGTATTTTCGAATTTTTCTCTTTCAACATTTTCCTTTTCGATATTTTCCTCTTTGAATTTTTCGTTTCGACGTTTTCCTTTTTAACATTTTCCACTATCCTCCACAAGATATTCGTTCACTTTTGGCTCACTAGAAAGTATTTTCGGCGAATGATGACGAGAATTCTGTGCTCTTTTCCAATATAGACTTAGAAATTTTGTTGAAGAGTGCTGAGGAACTTTGTGAAAAATCTGAAAATTTGTTTTTAATGGTGATTCAACAGATTTTTGTATATCCTGTAAGTCCCTTTTCGAACATGATAAAAATTGTTGGACTCGATTGTTTTGTAGAACGAACAATTCTCTACAAAATGTGATATTGAACTAAGCTGTTGCTTTTATCCAAGTGAGACTACAAGGATTTTTCAAAAGCTTCATTAAATGTAAAACGGTTGTCAATTTTTCAAAAAATGAATATTTAGAAAAACGGAAATTGAAGTGCTTTATCGAAAAACAAAAAATTTCTATATAGTGTATTTTGTTAGTTAGTTTTTGATCTACAAGGTGATGTATTTAACAAAGATTCTAACTTTTAAATTCAAATCGTAATAGTGAAAATTCAAAAATTTTCTGTCCAAACAAATTTTTGGAATTTTTCATAGATTATTTCACTATTCTCAGACAACATTTCTAATCCTATATTCGAAATGAATACAAAATTCTGGTCTAGACTCACCGGAAATACTTCCTAGCGAGTCAAAAATGAAGAAAAATTTTGTCTAAGAACTTTCCGATCATTCGTTATTAGGTTAGAAAAATTAGTCGATACATAGTATTCAAAGCACGTCTGATGTGCTATACAATAAATTTAAAGCAAGTTTAATTATTATTGATTAAAATATAAAAATATATATATATATATACGTATATATGATATTGTTTAAACTGTTACAGACAAAAAGAAATCTCAACGACAGTAATTTAACATATATCGTTTATATAGTGAATAGATAGTTTTTTGGTACACATATAAAAATAAATCTGACAACACTTAATTAATTCGAAACAGTAAAATCACTATTCATTTAAATTTGAATCATCAATATCTAAAACTTGTTCTCCGTTGGATTCCCATGGTTTTATTGTGCCTATAGGCCATCGAAGTAATAATAAATCAGTTGATGAAGCAAATTCTTCTGGTGCATTATCATCTGGTATTGGTGTTAATATAAAATAATCAAATGAATTTGAATCCGTAAATAATGTAGTTGTTAATCGTGCTGCTGCTTGACATTTTTCTGGTGTTATATTTGGATTATTACATGTAAATTCTTCTAATGACGGATAAAGTTTTGAAGAATCTGAATTCATAGCTTCTTCAACAACATTTGAAATCTGTTTTTCTTCTTCACGTTCAAGTACCACTGCTATTAAACCACGAATAATTTCACTTTCAGGTGACAAATTTTTCATTAATTGTGGAACCGCAGACATTTTTTTTATTTTTGATTCTTTAGTTTTTTCGTAAACTTCAAGAATTTTTGACAAAGCAATTCCAGATATTCCACCAATAAATTTTCCACCAACACTACCAAGAAATCCACCAGCAAAAGTACCAAGTATTGGAACTGGAATAAGTATTGTACCAACAATAGTGCCCGCTGTACCACCAACAACCTATTAAATTAATATAAATAAACTTATGTTTGCTTTGTTTTTGTAAATATAAATAAACTTACCGTTGTTGATGCTGATGTAATTCGTCGAACAACATATTTCTTAAGTGCAACATCACTTAAAGTTCCTTTTTTTCTTTCATTTTTTTTCTTTTTTATATCAATAAATGCTGATATACTTTCTACAGCTGTTAATATAACACCTGATCCAACAGCACTTAAAAATTGTCCAAATGTTCGTACACCAACCATAGCAACATCTTTAACAAGTAAAGCTGTTGGATCAATAATTAATAAAGTTGTAGATTTTTCTTTCATTAATCCACGAAGTTTATATACTTGTTCAGAATAATGTTCGCCTGTTCGACACCATCGAGCCCAATGTTCACAATTATTTCCTAATAATGAATATCCACGTTTACCAAGTTGTGAAAAAGCTCGTTTTAATGTTTCTTCATTTGAAAAACATGGAATATTATCATAATGATGTAAATAAACATCTTCACTTGTACTTTTTATATTAACTGGCCATTCACTTTCAATTATTGCAGCTATATAAACTGAACCTTTCATTAAAGCAGTTCGTGCATTTTCGAATGTATTAAAATAATGTATAACACGAAGATAATTTGTACGTGCTTCACAAACAATACCATGATGAGCATAATAGAAATCCGTTTTATAAAAACTAACATGATCACCGGGTTGAAGTTTATTTAAATCTGTGATTTTCTCATTACGAGTTTTTTGAAATGATCGCTCTTGACGAATGAAACTTTTAGCTGCTTCTAAATATATATTTAAAAAAAAAAAAAGAAATTGATCAATGATAGTACATACAACTGACCTGTTAATTGTTCCTTGAATTGAGATAGTAAATTATGTTTAGTGGTCATAATCTGTTTCTTCCTGGAAAAAAAAACATTTTATAATGATTTTGTACTAGACTTTATTCTTTTTACGTTAAAGGACAAAAAAAATTGTACACACTCAAGTATGTACTTTGCAAGTTTGACATAACCTATGTTTTATAGGAAGAAAGACTCATGTGGTTGGCTGCACTAAGAGCATCCATATTTATATCGTTCTTTTTCGTGCATATTTTCTGCATGCTAACGTCATCAACACATGGTGTGATGTCTCTTTTATACACTATAGCGCCGTTACATCAAATGTGATGATTAATCATATTGCGATTGAATCTCAGAAATAATTTGAAATTGTATATCATAAAACTGTACTTCGTATAAGAGCTTATGATCCAATTAGTTATTCAAAGATCATATTTATATAGGTGACAAGTAACAAAAAAAAAATAGTGGCAATAAAAATCTCCTTATTTTTTCATTAGTAGTCATTTACTTTATATAATAATGCATACTTTACTGGTTTACTAAAGTTTGCCAAATTTTTATATTAATTTCTATGATCGCTTGCAATCATTGCTATTTATTGTTATAGTATGGCATAACGGCAATAAAATAGTTGCTTTTGAGAATCTCCATCAATCTGCTTGGAGTTACTAATATAGAATGAAAATTAAACCATAATAACGAATTTGTTTGATCAATGCTAAAAAAAAAAGACAAGGTAAATAATTAGACTTATTCAAAATAAATGAAGTTTAGAGAATTATGAGTGAAAATTTTGACTCCTATAAATAGAAACGAAAATATTGCTATGGGAATTTTGATTTTAAACTTCTTTTACAACAAGATCTGTAATAAATTAATTAATAAAGGGTGATGGAAAAGCTTCGATTCCTCTCAGTAAATCGATGATATTTATGACAAATCTTTATATGATTAATTGGTCGAAATATGTAATTTTGTAGAAAAAGATCCGAACTATCATTTAAAAAAAAGATACTTCGAGATGCGTAAATATAGTACAATATTATTGTCATTTTACTCATCTTGAATGAATATTTTTATCTCATATTTTTTCAGAACAATAAAATACTTTCTTTTTATAATAGTTGTATGTCTTTTACTCACCGAAAATTTTTTTGTATCAGACTTATCATTTTAATGGAATAATATTCATCATATTGACAGTCTTATTTTATGAAGTTTACTGTTTTCAATTTATTCGCTAATATGCCAGTTGCTTGGATCTATCTTTCTGACAACTATTATAGTATTTCAAAGGGAAATAGATGGCATTTAGTCAATAGGAAACTTGTGAAGTATCATTCAACAAGATTTAAGTAAATACAAAGATGTCAAACAAAAAATTATTGATATATAGAAAAATTTAAACGTAGAAAACTACAAGGAAATAATTAACAGTATTTTAAAAAGTCAACACATCACAAAATGTCAATCTGATAAATTTATAAATCATTTAGATATTTTATTGGAGAAAAAAATCTTTTTAATTTTTTTCAAAAAGTATAAGATGACAATATTCATCGTCGACTAGTAAAATGACCATAAAGAATTTAAACCTACTTAAATACACTTTAATAATAAATTATTTATTTCAAGCATGTATAGTTTTTTTTTTTGTTATTACTCTTTTATAATCATTTTTATCATCTGTTCTCGACTACATTAAATACATATATATATATCTTTACATGTTTAATTCGAAATGAAATTTGTGATTTTCATATTTATTATAGATTTCTTTGAAAAATTATTTACTAGTATAAGTTATATCTATTATTTTACCTTAGCTAGGCATGCAATATGCAAGTATTTTTTTTTTTTGTTTGATGATGAGTTACAAAAAAACGGTCAGTATCAATTTTATATATACTGATGCAATATTTCTCATACATTTGGTTTTTTGAAATTATTTTAATATCAAATCTGAAAAATAAAATACATTGACAACATTTATGAATTTTTAAATATAAACATATGAATATATTATAAAATAAAAAGAATTTATTCTCTTATTCATTTGCTTGTGGAATTTCACATCCATCAACAAATAAACTATGATTAATCCCCAAACGATGATGACCAGATGAAACAGCTTTCAAAATAGCTGGATGACCACTAATTTCAAAAACTGTTTCTGTTCCATAATCGGTAAATTCAGCTTCAGCGTCAATACGTTGACCATTAACCCATATATCAAGTGTATCTTTTTCTAAAACAACACGATAATCTACTCCATCAAGTTTCAATGTCCATGCTCGACTTATTTTAGAACGATTTTCACTAAATTTTTCTAATGGTTTTCCATCAACATCAAGTGAATATTCATATGCAAAACCACTAACAGCATCAATATGAATAGTACATTGATGTTTACCAATTTTAAAAGTTTCTCTACCAACAAGTTTAAAAAGCCAATCATGACGAAGAACTTCTTTATTATCAACACGAACTATACGTTTACCGGATGTTGTACCACTAAAGTGATAAGAATTAAGACATAGAAATTATGAAAACAAAAAAACTTCTTTTTTTTTAGTTACTGTTCAAATTCTACTTTATGAATACCATCTGAGAGCGCAACTTGCCAACTTCCAACTATGTCACCCATTGCAAAAGTAAATAGAAAAAAAAAGAAGAATGTAATCGCATTTACGGCTATATGACTTTGACATATTCCGTCGTCATCCGTTTCGTTACTACGACTACAAAAATACTAATGCATGTCAGATGTCGCTAATGAACATGAGGACAAGCCCAATACCGATGAGTTTTCATGATTTTTTATTTTTTCTTAGAAAAAAAATCGATTCATGTTCATAGTTTCCTATTAGAGTTTTTATTTCTATCTTTTTCTTGTTAGTAAAATCATTCTATATCAATCTATTCAACATTCTGTTATGAAAATATTTGTCCTGTTCGGTGGCTTCTATGGAAAGTGGTACCATTCTAAATAGAATGAAATTCTGCATGTAAAAGAACCAACTAGAAAACCAACACAAGTTGTGAGAAAATCCGGACAAGAAAAAATTGAATCTAGTTCAAACTTTATATTAGAGTTGTAACCGGTCAGTCTTCACCGATTAGAAAACACTTTATAAATGTGCCATTTGTCTCTGATAAAACTTGTGGATAGCAAGTTTTGCTTACTCTTATCAAAATGATCAAACAGTGCTGTTTCGAAAACTGTTAGTTTTATTTTCTTCTGTTCGTCCTGACCATGCAAAAATCGTCGGTTTTATCACGTTTTATGAGGACCATTAATCGTGAAAGTAGATGGGGATTAAATCACTTAAAATAGCTTTTTTTCGATTTCTTTACAATTTCGATGGAAAATCGCAATTATTCCAGCGACTTTTACAATAATCTAACCTAGCCGTACTGATTGAATCTAGATTATGACTGTCTCGACACATCGTGAACAATATGTTTACAACCGTCATTTATCATTGTATATTCGTACGATTTCTAGTAAATTGCGAGAGAGATGGTTTTCTTCTTCCCATATACTATAAATATTTAAAAAAATTATTTATATAAATAAAATTTACATTTCATTTTGGTGTCAATCTTGATCTAAATAAAGGAAAAATTTGATAAATAATACTTTCTATTGATTTCATTGTCGAGAATGATTTGAATAAAAAAAAATATTTATATAAATAATACTTACTATTCGTAGTTTTGTAGAAATTATATTAAATAAGAAAGAAGGGAAAGCCTATTTCAATGAATAACATTTACGTCTGATTTTAGTGTGGAGATTGATCTAAATAAAAGAAAAAATGTTTAATTTTTTTAAATATATATATTGACTGTTGAAGTTTCTTACAAAATCACCGGTTGACTCGCAATTATCTAAATAATTATTGATTAATTGTGATTTATAAGAATATCCGAAAAATCGCGATTAATCATCAAAGCTGATGTGATTTTGACGATATATTATGTTACTTGACTCAAACTTAAACCGTATATGTTTTCGTGAAGATAAAATTTAGATTTGGATCATTGTTCGTAGAGAAAGAAACGTTAGTTTTTGTCTGTAAAAGTCGAGTGAGAAAATTCACGGTTTGGAGTTTGGCAATCAGTTGATGGGCAAATGACTCATTTTTTTTTCGAGCTACATATAGAAATATCACATATTAATTTTTGAGAAATCTAACAGATATAAACGACCATAACACGGTATTTCTTCCTGGAAATTTGTAAAAACCTGAGTGCAAAAAAAGGAAAATGAATGTTTCTGGAAACCATTCGACTAGGTATGGGTGTTCTCTTTAGCCATATCCATTCACACACACACACACACACACACCAACAGACAGGCATTTGTATCCATCCACTCATTTATAGTGCATTTCAAAAATAATATTGAACATCCCATCATTTATAGATGGCCTCACTGGATGCTTAGTATCACATGATACCCCGTCGAACCGCGTGCTCAGATGGAATCGGATCAGTCGACTAGTCAGCATTAGGACTAATGCACACCTACTCATCAAAATTTAGAAGAATTCAATGCTATTTTGAATATAAGTTGACTTGATTTTACTAGATAACGTGGCTTCTTTGTACTTTGTTTGGCCAACTAGGAAAATCGATCTCATATTTGGTTAATTGCCAATTTTTGCGATCTTACTTACATTCATTCTCTGAAGTATTATATATAATAAATTATGATTAAAATCATCGAGGATAATTTTTAAAAAACTTTTGTGAAAGTTTACTGAAAAATTTGTTTTGAAACTGATATAGAATCTTTGAAATAATTTTAGCAACGTCATCAACAACATCGACTAATACAAGTGCATAATCACTTTCATTTATGCATATAAAGTTCTTATGAGTACTGTCTCTCTTTGTCTTGTAGCAACGACAACTCTAAAGCCTCTAATAGGATCTTTTACCGGCGCTACTATGACAGATAATACTTGGACGCAATCTACCAACCCGTATTCAGCAATTACAACAGGACTTCTAACGCTCATATTCACCTCCGCCACATCAAACAATCAATATGATTGGTATATAGATGATGTATTTGTACGTAACTCAATGTCGACTGAAATGCTAACAAATGAAAATTTTGAGAATAGTTCAACACTCGTTGGATGGACATTTGGACATTCTGGTTCGTGTGCATCCTCGACCGGCCGGTATAACGAATAGCAGATCTCATTCATCGAGTCAATCCTACGGTAACGTATGTCATAGTGGGACTACATCGATCGAAAAATCGTTTTCTATCATCGCTGGCCACGCTTACAATCTTGATTTTTGGTTTTATCTCTATCATAGCAACAATGGGGCGGGTAGTGCAAGTGTACAGTTGAATGTAATTGTTACTTGATTATAACTTAAAGATATTTGCATTGATGACGAAGGTATGACCTTCCACAATGCATTACTATATACATAACAAAAGAACTTGACAAAATGAACATTATAGTTTTGTTGTTACCTTACAATTTTTATTTTCTCTGTCATTCTATAGCCTCATTTTGAAATACGTATTAGTCTACAAAATATATTGCAAGCAAAAAACAAAAATGCATGAACAGAAGTTATTAGGTGTAGATGTAGATTATGAAAGGCAAGAAAGGATCTCACTCGAGTGATACATCCAAGCCTTCATCGATCAAAGTGTCAAAAATAGACGCTTATATATTTTACATATCAAATATGTGTAGACGAGAAGATCTGTCTGTCAAAGAATATTTTTTCCTATCCTTAGCACAACGAATAAATGATTGCCCAGTCTCATTACTGTTAGATAGTGTACAAAACGAGTAGATATGGTTAGATTATATCTCATTTTATATTTTTTGACAAAATAGAATTTGAACAATGAGCAAATTTATCAGAAATTTGATAATCAAAAGCAATGTTTTCTAATGGTCTGAAATTATGAATACTCTTATTTCATATAATATTTGTTTATAAAAAAATAATTAATATTTCATTTATGAAAGAAAAAATAAGAACATTGTGAGGAAAATAAAAAAATATGGTATTGACTTTTTATTTCTAGTAGTAATTTATTGATAACAATATTATTGTTATAGAATATCGTAGTGAATTATAAAGATACACCTATGTTTCATTCATGTTTGTTTATCTCTTTTCTTTGTTTTTCTCATATTTATATTTATCAAGTTTATGTCATCGTCGTAAGACAATTCTATTCATTGACAAAAATATTTTTCATTAGAACATGTTTATACTACAAAGCAAACAAGACAGCATAAACAAAATTTTGATGAAATATTAACATATGAAAATTATATTGAAGTTATCTTCCCACATACGCAAGCTGATAGTAAACAGCTCCTTGATGACGGTTTCATCGATTAACAAGACAACGCTACATCACATACACATCTGGAATCATTGACATAGTATGAAGAAAATTTCGTAGAACTCATTGAAAACCACAGATGATCAGTCCTGATCTCAATGTTCTAGATTATCATATGTAAAAGGCTATCATCAACAATGTGCAATAGGATAAAGTTAAAAACTATGATTCATTAATTGATGAAATAAGAAAACGAATTTGTCGTAGACTAAAAAATAATCTTTTTCGCAGCGTTGATATTTTGTTAATTTTGAAAATAAAAAGTACAACTATCAAAGAAGCTGTTCTTTTAGTAAAATGTAGAGCTTTTCATGCTACATCTTTTGGTATATTTTACTTGTTTAATACAACGTATGAAGTGATTAAGAACTGAAATGCAAAACATGGTTATTTATTATATTACATTGGTTTTTTTAAAGCATCAAAAGTTCGTAGTATGATGACACCAGAACTCAGACGAAAGTATTCATCAAATGTACTTGATATTTATACTTTTACTTATCCTTAAGTACAAAAATCCGTACTTCATACTTTTACTGACAATACGAAACAGTGTCTCTTTTGAATATTTGAAATATCTTTCTGAACATTTCATTACAGCCGTTAACGAAAAACATTTAAAATATTAAAGCTTATTAGATTAAGCAGTTTAGCCGTCTACTAAATACATAGATAAATTTAATAAAAAGTAAAACGAATTTCGAACTTCTGCTTGTTTTCGAAAATCTACGACTCTTTTTAATATGTCCAATGTGTTGCATAAGGAATAAAAGATGTTCAATTTAGAAACAATTAGCTATTGGATAGATCGGATAACTTTCAGATGACTCTATAAGTTTCTGTTAAAGCAAATTTTTATCCTAAATTTATTAAATTCTTAAAATTATTAGTTACATACCAAAATATATCTGATGGACTGCATTTATTTTAAATTTCAATATTGTTAGAAAGAATTAATGGTTTGAATCTAAACTTGCAAAGAGGTCTAAGATATATTCAAGAAATCTTTCATCAACTTTCCATATTAAAATCCTATTGATGATTCGAAAATGTAGTGAAACAATAACCTGTACTGGCTTGTAGAGCATGAATTTGAATTCACGTAGATCCTTCTTAGTGTCATCAAGAACTATATTTATCTATGATAGTAAGCCGAACAAGCGTCATCCTGTATAAATATTGATTATAATTTCAAAGAAACTCGAACAATGAAACTAGATAATTTTTACAACTGTTCTGCAGTAAATTTATCAATATATGAGGCACAAAAAAATTTCATTAAAATATTCTTATTTTCATTTACTTTTTGATCAAATCATGTCACAATAGTCTTGTAAAGCTTATTAAAGGTAGTCAATTTTAAAGACGAAAGGGATGAGTTCCAAAGTGACCCCTGCTAGAATTAGACCTATAACACTTGTTTGTGCTCTGTCTCGATCAGTTGAAATTGTTAATAGCCGTTGTATGTACACTATACATGGCTGTTGAGCATGACCAGCTCTTTTTATCTATCAGTCCGAAGACCAACCAGACTAATATTCATTATGACTCGATATCACTTTTCAACAGCTTCAAAATGGTATAAAAATATCATCGAAAAAACACTGTTCGATATGACCTTGCATGAAGCACATAGCCCTGATATACCGTTATTTTAAGTACTGTCAAGATTGTTCACTGAAATCATGTGCCAATACCACCTGATATTATCGCTCATCGGACTAATTTTTATATAGTTTGATAGCGCTTGAAAATGACTACAAAAATAATATAAAAAAATCAAAGAAAAAACACTGTTGATTAGAAAATTACGATTTGGATAAGACAAATGTGATATTCTGAATTAGCATCAAAAACTGAGTGGACTTACATGTATTTCAAAAATTTGCGCAACTTTCTTTTTTCGTCGAAAAACTCATCTGTGATCTTTCTCAGACTTCGGTCAAAAAAAATGAATTTCATAAAAACTCTATTGTTATTGTTTATTTATCTGTTATCTGAAGTTCTACTATTATTTTATAACTTTAAAACTTGATTCTCACTGTCAAAATGATTGTTCTGATGAAATTCATTTCTTGACTCAACCCTAAGAAAGACTAAAAGTGAATTTCTCGAGAAAAAAAGAAAGTTGCGAAAACTTTTGAAATACAACGATATTTTTCTAATCGAAATCTATTCAATATCAGGCAAAAAAAAATCATAAAATTATCTTTCGAGCATTGTCTCTTTGTGTGACCAGTGTTTTTTTTCTCGATTTTTTAATACCATCTTGATTGGCTTATTAGATGAGTAGATAAAAACAGTTGTTTATCATCAAAAGTTGGGTTCAATACTTACGTGACGATCATTGACTATTTTAATCGAGCTGTGCATTGCACAAACAAGTACTATATAACTAATTCTACTAGGACTTACTCTCGAACACCTTGTGTGATAGAAAAAAAGTCAAATTTCTTGAGGGTAACATTTTTAACAGTTATTGACTTCTTTTCTCTATTATATTTATGCATCAAGTAAAAGTACCAAGTACTTTTTTTCGTACTGAAGTACAAATACAAGGACAAATATACTTATACTCGTCATTCATTTGGATGAAATTATATTCTAACGTCTCTTGTAGATAATCATCGGTTATATTCATAATTTTTTCAGTATAATGGAGTTAAATAAATGCAAAACATTTTGTACAGTAGTGTCTCGCAGACAAGTGCGATCGGCTCTTGTTTTTTTTCTCATGCACACTTTCAATAAATTAAAATTTGTATGCATCTCTTCATTTCATCATTGGAAAAAATTTCAAAAAGAAATTTTTATCAAAATTATATTTCGCATAATATGTAAAATAATCTTTTCCTTTCCGTCTGTATATAGTGCGGCATCTGTTGATGAATGTCAAGCCAGAACATTATTGGATGAGTCATACTCGGTCAGGTCTTTGTATCGATCGAGTCAAAAAGGAAAATTTCGTATATTTGTTTTTATTCGAATGTATAGTAGTCTAAATTTGTTACAACATTCTCAGCAAACTGTCGTCAAATTCAACTCAATTTTCTCTTCATTTGCGTAAGATTGATTTGATTTTTTTTCTTTAAATTCTACATTGAAATTTTTTACTTTAGAACTTCAAACTACAGAAGTGTCGTCAACACAAGAAAAACCTTCAATTTCTTTTTATAGTAGTCGAAAAGTAAAAACAAACAATCATCTTATCAATAGACAAGTATTTTATATATTTTTCTAGCGAATTGATCATGCACTAATAATAACAAACGGGCAAATGGCCAAAAAATCGAAACCACTACCAGAAGGTGTTTTCTATATTTTCTATTTTAATGTAATTTAATTTTTTTTTCTCCTTGTAGTTATTTGTTTGAGTGATGATGATGACGATAATAATAATAAAAAAATGAGTGTACCTGTTGCTAGTCCTATCATACGGCCATCATCAAGTCTTACTAATGGTGACAATAATATTGAAACATCTCAAACATTCGATTGGATTGTTCAACGTAAAGATATAATGCGTATACCAGAATTAACAATAAAACATTCTGATCTAATAAAAAAATCATATGAACTTGGTTGTTCAGCAGTTTGTTTTGGCATTATAGAATTTAATGTTGAATCAGAAATTATTCTTATGAAAGAAACAGAAATTGAATTAAAACTTAAATGTAAATAAAAATATCTAAAAAAAGAAAAAAAAATTAAAAATACAATTTTTACTTTTTTAAGGTGATTTTATGGCTAATCTTAATATAAAATTAGCTTATTCAGACATCATATCGTTTTATTTTTCATTTCAATCACAACCACCAGCTGCATTTATTCAAGTTCGTCCAGACTTCGCTGATCTTTTTGCAAGATTTATTCCATCAACGGATGAACATGGAAAAGGATTTGATCCAAATTCAAAAGGTTTAAGAAATATATGCATATATAATTTATTTAATATTTATATTTGTTTAGATGAAAGACGACGTCGAATTGTTTTTTGTCTAAAATCTTTACCAGAAAAAGAAAAAATAAATATAGCATCAATTTATTATTATTTAAAAGCAAAATCTGCAACAATGGTATAGAGAATTTTTTTTCTTTATATATAGAAAATATATTTTTTTTTGTTGTTATTATATTTTCATAGAATATTTGTTGTATCAATGGTTCAAGAGCTCAAGAAATTTATAATTTATCTCGATTTGCAAAAGTATCAGCATTGGGCTCGATAACAACATCATTTGTAATTCATGCTAATGATTTGTATGTTCTATTTTATAGAAACATCCGTCTTAGATGTTTATTGAAATTAGAATAAGAGACAAATTTTTACCTTTTCTAATTTTCCTAGTAGAATTCAAACTATTATAAAAACAGATTGATTGATAAATTTTATCGATAAGTTTGAAGGAGAAAATATGATCAATTCAAAATCGTTTGACTAGTGTCAAGAAATTTTAAACAACCTGAATACAATAAAATGAAAGGTTTTTTTTGGTTTTACTAACGAGGAAACTATCCCAGCTGTAATCCGCCTATTGAGCTCACTAGAAAGTCTTAGTACAGCTAGAAGAACCGTAAAACGGTTGGTACCCATCGACCTCTGGAGTCGAGTTATGATTGTTTTACTGGAATTTAGCCCATAGATAAATCAAATGACCTTTAGAATATCTTGAAAGTGTCAGTTGAAAAGAATGTTGACTTGCCAAGATAATATACGATGCAAAAGTCGAAACATTTTCATTTTTATCACAGCGCCCTCGCACAGTTTCATGCATGTAAATCAGACCAATCAGTATGAAGACGCACTCAAAAGTCTTTGGACAGATGTCAAACTGTTATACTGTATTGCAGATTTCTAAAGCAATAAAACAATTTTTTTGTTAGAAAGAGCAAAATCTGAACGACAGATTTTGTACGAGACATATTTTTCCAAAACAAACGTGTTGAGGAGAAAAAGTCCAAAACTAAACATCTCTAAAAAAATAAGTTCTTGTAACGTTTTTTCAACCTTGAAAAATAGATATCTGAATTGTTTTGAGCTACATGAATGAATCAAATCGAAATAAGAATATATCAAAGACTCTATCGATATCAACTTGAGCAAAATTTGTCAGATCCATAACTCTAATCGAAAACGTTTGAAAAATGCAATTTCTGTAAAATACAATCTTTTTCAAGAAATATCAGTTTGCAAGCACAGCAGCCATCATCTTCACAAATTAGGCATAAACTGAAATCTTTGTGCTTTATTTATTCGAAATAGTTCAGGTCATAGGAACTGACCAGAAAAAATCATTTTTTTACTGTTGCAAAACGGTTAGGTAGTAGAAACGATCAACTTAGTCGTTTTGTTTTTAGAAAAAACTATATTTTGGTATAAAAGCCAATAGGAAGTTTAACTTACAATACATCATTGAAGAGAGCATCCTTTACGCTACAAAAATCAACATTAAACGTGTCTTTTGATTTCACTTCAGATTTTAAAAGGCTTAACAGAAGGTAAAAAATGCTATTGCTCGATAGTGAAGTTGCAAGAAGTTTTTTTAGTTTTGGACTTTTCCTTCTGGTCAGGTTCATTCTGGAAAAATAGACTCCATACAAAATTTGCAGTTCATACATAACTCTTTCCAGAAAAAAAATTTGTTTGGTTCAGAAGTACACAACATGGTATAACTGAGTTTGCCAGTTTTCTAAAAGATTTTTTGCATTGCAGATTCAATACGTCGATAAAGGAACACTCATCTCGATTAAAACTTTCAGAATATCCCAAAGTCCATTAGATCTATCTATGCATGAAATTCTGTTATTTGATTTTCCAATAAATACCTAAAGCTAAGTCGAAAATTCAGTAAAAGGATCATAACTCGAGTCCAGAAGCTCATAGTTGCGAATAGAGCTTGCTGGGCTCTAGTCAAGAACTACTTTTAGTTTTTTTCTAGTCTGATTGAGATTTTCTTGTGAACTCGAGCGGTAGATTACCGTTTAGATAATTCTCTCGTAAGCAATGAGTTCTTTTTGTTGAATGATTCATTTGATATTTATTTTTTAGAACTCCAAAAACAGTTGGTTTAAATAATAATACAATACGATTTGATTTATCTTGTGATGATTTATTATGTTTGAACGAGGGTGAATTTCTCAATGATAATATAATCGATTTTTACTTGCAGTAAAATTAAAAAATATTTTTATTTTTAAACGATTCATTTTTATTCTCTATTTAATAGATATATTTATTATGAAAAACTTTCCGAAGAAGATCGTAAACGGACATATTTATTTAATTCTTTTTTTTATACACGATTAACACGAAAAGGCAATGATGATATTCTCAATACTTCGTAAGTTTAGTTTTCTAATGTTTACATTCAATAGAAAATTCAAATTTCTTTAAACAACAATAGCCTTGAATATATATCTTGCATTGTCGTTAATATTATCTTTGAAAAATATATAATCATACAAAAACAAATAAAAACGATTCCGAATAGAATTAATGTTAAGTTATGAAAGTTTATTATAATCATCAACAATTCGTACATGCAGTTTTTTTTTTCGGGTGACATTTCGTACAATGATAAACATTTTTTCGATTTGTGTTAGGAAAAAGTATCCCGCCTTGCAATATAGGGTGCTGCTCGAAAACAGTTTCATTATCTCCATATTTTTCCTACAACTATGACCAGCATTAGTATTGACCAGAAGGTCGACCTGTTTTAGAATTCAATCGCTTGATCTATTCATACACACTGACTAACCATAAGGGTTGATCTATTTTTCCATGTAGTCAGTGCACCATCAGACGGATGATCCGAGACAAATAACTGTTAGTAACTTGTTGAGAGCCATTTCATGATTGGTGACACTGAGATTTGAATAGAATACCTTATGGTCACGTGATAAACAACGTAGTCACTCAGTCATGACGACCTTGTGCTAGAAGCTTCTGGATTGTTTATTGTTTATCAAAGAACGAAACGAAGAGAGACTGACTGTGAAAGATCTATCTAAGAGTTTTCTAAACTACGACGCTCTTCTAGTATCAGTAGAATATGATAGATTCAATTAAAAAGTAAATGTTATAAGTTTCTATATCATATTCATCTTTCTCCGTCTCTATGAATAAAAAATATGAAATAATGGTATGTTTATTGTTGTTTATGGAAATTTTGATTTATTCTATAATATTTATATTATAAAATACTTTATTTAAAAATAAAGAGCTGCTGAACGACGTTATAATCGTGTTAAACGATGGCTTCGTGATGTAGATATATTTTCAAAAGATTATCTTATTGTACCAATTAATCAAACAGCTCATTGGTATATTGTAGTTATTCAATATCATAATAATGTTTCAACAGAAGGTGATTTAATCAGTGATGATGATGATGATAACGATGATAATCAAGGTAAGAAATTTGACGTGTAAAATTCAATTCAAATCATAGTTTCATATCGAATCCTTCAAGTTAAAGTATATTTGAATTAGTAATTGTTTGCAGATTAGAATAATAGAAAATCTCGTAAAATTTCTATGTATTTATTATATGTCTATTAAAAATTGTTTCGGAATTTATTAATATTAAAGTTCAAAGAGCTTAGCATAACTCATCTGGATTTTGAGTATTTAAAAAAAAAAATTTTTTTTTATCTCATTCAGACAATCAATTAAACTTGAAAAAGAAGAAAAATATTGAATGTTTAATTGAACCTATTGTCAATAATAATACTCCCGGTGAAGCATCATCATCATCATCTTCAACATCTAATATTCATCCAATTGAAGTTCTTGATGAAGCAGATGAAGTCATAATTAATAATAATAATAATCATATAAAAACTGATAATGAAACAATTACGAATTCTAAAAATCGTTCTCAAACACCAGCAATAATTATGTTTGATTCCTTACGTTCTGGTTCAAAAAATCGTGTTGCAGCTACTTTACGTGAATTTCTTCAACTTGAATATGATCATAAAAAAACTTTACCTGTTGGATCATTAGCAAGAAAAATATTTAATTTAGATACAATACCAAGTATTGAAGCAGCTGTACCACAACAACCAAATTATTTTGATTGTGGTTTATATATTTTACAATATATGGAAAGTTTTTTTGCTCATCGTTCACCAACAATTAATTTTCAATCACCACCAACATTTGCAAATTGGTGTGAAAAAAATTTAATGGGTTCATCAAAACGAAAACAAATATTTGATATTATCAATCAACATGTTATTCCTAAAGAAGTGTAATCAAACTAAGTTGTTTATTCAACTTCATCATCGTCTTCTATCTTTCATATTCTAGTTGTCCGTATTACACTTCTTTTTTTCTTCTATTTTGTCTTTTTTTGCTATGTATACATTTATTTTTTTTTCTCGGATGTCATAAAAAGAAAAAGACTAGTACAGATAAAACGCTGGAAGATGGTCATAAATATATTTGTTGATATATTATTTACTCTAGACAGTCTTCATTTTTTATTACATTTATCAATACAAATATGGCTTCAGAACAACGTAGATATGGTGATAAAAATCGAAAACAGGTATAGAATATTGGCTTCGAATGTGTAGGATGTATGTTTACTAATTGACTTTTTGTACTTATGTTCAAAAAAGCGTATAATGATTGAAGCATATGCATCATGCGTAAAAATGGAAATGCATACTAAATGGTACTGTTAATTTTAAATGTTACATAATGAACAAAATTTTATTTGATATTCTTTGAGAGAGTTCAATATACAGGCAATATTTGGTTTAGATTTTCTTGAAATAAATAAATGTGAAGTTGAAAGCTTCGTTCGATGAAAAAGTATACATGAGAGTATTGTAGTTGACTTTACACCAGCTTAAATTTTACACCTCTCAAAATTTTCTTAAAAGTATTTTAAAGATCGTTGTAAGCACAAAACTAAGAGCGGAAAGTCATTGTAAAAAAAAGTATATTCCATAAAATCTTTCTTTTTTTTAAAGAATATAAGAAATAATGCAACTAGTGGCCTACCAAAAGAACCTTCTGATTTATCAACATTTGATAAACTCATGATGTATTTTACAAAAACTAACCCAGAATATTCAATGTAGGTCAGTAAAATTTGTTTGTCTATTATAAATATTTATTTTCTTAATAGATCGGATTTTACTGAAGCTTTATATGCCTATCGACAAGAACGACAAACATTAGCTGGACTTTCTTTATCACAAATTGAAGAAGGTGTTTTAAATATCGTTCGAAGCAAATATCCGTCAAAGCAAGTTAGTCAAATTTTTTTTCCAATTTTCAAATTTTGATTTTTCTTATTGGTTTTTTGTTGGTAGAACGATATTGACACTGCTCACACTGAAGTAAATCATTTTTTTTTTATCTAATAATTTATGTGATCTTTTCTTGTGCGTTAATAGAATTCAACTGAAGATAAAACTGAACAATCTGTTGCTGCTGCACTTTGGAATACATTTAAACGTTATCGAGAACGTGAACAATTACCAAAAAAAGCAGAAAAGAATACGACTAATAAAAATGATGAAACAGTGGCAATAGAAGATCAATGTCTTATTTGTCTTGAAAATTTAAGTTTAAATAAAACAGAAACATTTCCATGTAATCATACATTTCATCGAATGTGTCTTGAAGAATGGTTTAAAATCGAACGAACATGTCCTCTATGTCGTAAAATGTTACTTTTCGATGATGAATTTCCTACTTTAATGTGATTCTTTTATAATTATTCATACATGTAGAATCATAAAATAAATAAACTTGAATTACTCATTTTACTGAATTTCAGCAGACTATAATACCTCTGTTATTGACTTTCTCGGTTCTTTCTTTTTTGTTGTTCTTGCATTTCAAAAAAAAAGATAGAAGAAAGAAATGCATATATATTTATATGTTGATCAATACTTGTCGTAGAAGAAAAAAAATGCGTCATATTATGAAAATAATGCTGGCAGCATAGTAAAAGAAGGACAAAGTGGCGACGAACGAAACTTCGATAAAAAAAAATTATTCAAGGTAGAACGAGAAAAAAAAATCAGTGTAATAGAAAGCTGAACAGAGAAATAGAAAGAAATATAAGTTGTATATTAAAAAAAAAAAGGTCATGGTCTTCAGAAAAAAAAAGAACGTTGGTGGTGATGAGTAAGATGCAGACGAGAGAAGAAATAAAAGAAGAAAAAAAGAATTACAATATACTTCGTTTTTGACATACACAAGGCGACAGAAAAAAGCAAGAAAGAAGAAGAAAAAAGAAAATTTAATAAATATTTCAACTATCATGGTTGTTGTCTCGTTCTTACAGCTGATATTACCATTACTACTACTGATCTGTTGCATAATCGGTAAAAAATTATTAGAACTGTTTTAGTCTTTACGTTGGGTTTTTTTAACGTACCTATTTAGGACAAGGAAAAGGACATGTTAATCGTCAACGACGACAAGTAGTAGATGGAAATAATCTTAATACAGGTATTTTATCAAGAAACTCGGATAGATTAATATCTTCGAATAATGTTCAATTTATTCCATCGAATAATCCAAATATGGCTCTATCTAATGATCGACAAAATCAACAACAATCAAATAATAATTTATTACCATCATCTCAAGGACAAGCACCACCAGTTCGTAGTCGTGGTTTTTATGATAGTCCAGCATTTAAACCACCATCATTTAATGGTGAAAAACCAGTCGGTTGGTTTGATACAAAATATCCAAATTGGGTATCGAATCAAGATGGACAATTAAATCAGAATAATATGGTTAATGGAAAAAATGCACCAAGCAGGTAAATAGAAAATTACTATCATTTTTTTAATAAAATAATTCTATTCATTATCTATCACAAATAAGTCTTCAAGGCAAAGCTTTTCAACCAAGCAGAGAAGATGGTGGACCAGCACTTCTTCAAAAAATAGCTAAACATTATGCCAGTAAAGGTGAAAAAACATACAATTTTGGTCATCATCCTAGTAAACAGTTTTTCATGAAGAAAAGAATTGTTTGTTTTGAGCTAAGTGAATTTTATTTTACTAGATGAACCCGGTCGTGGCTCTATTTGTATTAATCGTCATAATTATAATGGATATACATTTGGTAAATTTCAATGTCCATTACCACCCAATATTGGTATGAATCAACTTGATCGATATTGTTGTGGACCTGAAAGTTATCAATATTGTTGCAATGAACAGTTTGTATTTATCGAAATTTTCTTCAGAATATTCTATAATGGATGATTTCTAAATAGAGAATATAATCAACAACAAAATAACAGATATGATAATGATCGTCATTCGAGACATTACCATTATTCACGAACAATAAATCGAACTCTTTTTATTATTTTACCTTTAATTGGTATTCTTGTTATAGCAGGTGGTGGATTTATTATCTTTTCATATTATAAAAAAGTTCAAAAGGAAAATAATAAACAAAGTAAATCATCTGGAATTACTCGACTGAATGATAATTACTCAGGTAAATTTGTTAAATAATTAAAAAAAAAACGAAAATTTTTCATTTAGCTGTTCCTCAAGATGCATCCGTTGAAAGATCGATAGTTAATCAACATGAACAGCAAAATACATCTGTTCAAGCTTAATATTTTGAAACTAAAAAATATGTACATTTTATTTGAACTTTTTTTTTAGCTAGTCTAAACACATTTATTAACCTTGGAACAGTGTTTATATTGATTTTTTTCTTTGGTTTTTTATTCTCATTATGTATTCTATATATGAATTTTGATTTGAAAAAGAATCTCTGTTTGTTTCATTTGATTCTTATTTTTATTAACAAATGACATTAATTTTTTTATTGAATTTTAGCTTCAATCAATTGAAATAATATTCAACAGAGAATTTTCATTTTTTGTTTTATTATCTATTTTGTATTTTTTTTTTGAATTAGACTTTTATTCATAACAAACACGTATATGTTCTAGTTATCTTTCTTTATCTTTATTTAATAGACTATAATGACAATTTTGTTATAAAATTAATATACAAAAAAAATTGATCTACTTTCGTCTTCTAGTTTGTTTTTTATTTTTGGATATTATTCGACGTTGATTTCGCTTGATTGATGATGTTCGACAAATATTTGAATTATTCATAGATAGTTCAGTATATATTTGACTTGGATAAATTGAATTATTTTTTGCTATGATGTTAGGTGGTAATGTTGATTGAGAATTCAATTTTTGTTGCTTCACATGAGGATATAAAGAACAACAACCTGGTTGACCACAGGGCTTTTGAATTTGTTCATTATTAGAAATTAAACTATTGATCAATGAATAGAATAAACCCATCAAATTTATTAGAAAATTAGCCGCTTTTTATTATTATATGTTTTTGACAAGTATTAAAATTTGAATTAATATTGAAAAAACAATTCAATATCAATATAGAATTTGAAATTTTCTTCATTTAGTTTTTGTCTCGTTCTTTATAATTTAAATTTCAATCTTTTAATCTAATTCTATAAATATTCTGCCATTTTCTCGTGCTCATCAAGTTAAATAAAGGTAATAATCCTAAAATAAATGCTAAATTAAATATACATATCGATTCATTTTTTTTTCTTGCAGTTTGAGAACATGTTTTGTAAGGTACATTGAATCAAATTATCATTGTCGTCAAAAATGAAAATATTATTTAGTGATGATGTTTCTGGATTTCAAATGTGTTGACTAATGTTGTGTGATAATAGTCACTATCACTAGCAATCTTTATATGGATTAGATGGATGCTATTAGTTTTAACTGTTCGACATCATTTTAAAAAAAATTAAGCAATGCTCTTTTGTTTAAATCATAAAAGAGACTTAAAGGTCAAATAATTTTATACTTTTGTCTGTTAAATTGCTCTCAAGATAACAGACAAATGATAAATCGCGGTCTGAGGGCGTCAAAAACAAGTAGTCTAACAAATACTGATTTATATGAGCGTCGTCTACAAGTTAAAAAGTAAGACGAAAGACATTTATCTAGGACTATGTTAAACTCTTACGTGATAAATCCAAAATAGTAGAACTCCTGCAAAGGAATGGAGCAAATGTCATTGACTGTGCGGTCATATAATAATTAAATATTCTTTGTTTTATCCAATGACAATAAGAAGTTTTTCTTCACAAGCCTCTTGACATTTTCAAATAGTCTGAATATTCTCAACTCAGTGAAGTCTAAATGCAAAGACATATTAATGTAACTAGTAATATCCACAACCATATTAACCCTGTAGGGACGGGTTTTTTTTCTGTATATTTCATCATAAATCAATCAATATTTCTATATTCTAAAAGAACTTATTATCCATTACTGGATATCTGAATAAAATAGCCTAATTACAATCCAAATTATACCAAAAAACTCTCTGATAAGTGCTTTCACGAAAACTAATCTCATATAGGAATCTGTGTGTTTTGAAATGCTAGGGAATCACCATGGCCCCTTAGGGGGCCAACCGTCCCCAAAGGGTTAACTAACTGTTTTGCATTACCATTGTTGAATAATCTACAGAAAGCCTTTTATTACGCTTTATAGTTCCAATGTGTCATATAAAAGAATATTTAAATCAATAGAAAAAGTTGTTAGCGAAATCCTTATGAAGTTAAAATGTGAAACACGATGTAGCCGTTGTTGCTAATCATAGGAAGATTATTTTATTTTGTCTATCTTGGGATATATTTCTTCGCTACGATAGTTAAGTAATAAAATAAGTTTTATCCTCTAAGAATTTACTCACTACTCGATAGTCAATACTAGCCTGTAAAAGTGATCATTATTGAATAAAAAAGTATGTGATAGCATTTCTCGAATCTAATAATCAGAAAAATACAAGTCTTTATGACAAAATGATTCATACCACCTATATCTGATTCAACACAATCGAATGAAACTCTACAGATAGTAAAAAACATTTTTATTGTAAAAAAACGACAATAATTCCTCGAGACAATCTTTTTTGTTTGATAATTATTTTAACTAGATACTTGATTACGAAAATGGGTATGTATGTGAAAGAATGTACACTTCCTAATTACTGAAAATGTTTATATCTCTCTAGTAGACATCGAAGAAATTTTTGAAATTGATAGACATCCTAATCCTCATCCGCCAAGGTCAAACGAACATGATCATAAATGGAGAAACACGACGATATACAGAATGGGCTATAAATAGTACTACGATAAAAAAAAGAAATATCTTCGCGCCGATACGATCAAATGGACTGGTTTTTGGATTATTGATAAAAGTTTATTCGAAGTGTTTTTTCATACGAATAAAGTAAACAAATAGTACGATCAAATATTATTTTCGATATCATGAAAGCATTTTTACTTGTTATCACGCAAGAAAAATATATCGATAATGTTTTATGGATAGTTCTCAGTTGTCATTGACTAGAATAATAACGATAAGAAACTAAAACGAACTTAATGAATGATACTATATTGATGTACTTAGAGCAAATTTTTAGAACCATCATCCGTTTCAAAAAAAAATGGACCCAGTTGTTTGTTGAATAACTCGTCAACACTGATAGTTATCGAGCTCGGATTTTCACCGTTAGAAAGAGTATGAGTGGAGGTACAAGTCTACTTGAGAATCAAAATACTTGAAAAGTTTTCTAGGGGATTTCTAGAGAGTCTTTGGAAAATCACTGTTTGATTCGCTTGATTAGCTCTATTTTCAATTTCAATTTAGCCATATTGTAGTCCAATGTCTACTCTATAAACCCCGAAATTTTTAGATGTTTGCGATCTTTTCATAGGTATTTACCGGAAAATGAATTTATGGAATATCGACCTGAAAATCTGCCCATTGATAGCTCTAATACTCTACAGAACATCCTAAAAGTTTTAGCCAAAAAGGATGTTCTTTTCTCAATATATTGTATTTTCAATTTCACTTGAAAATACAGCTAATCAAGCAAATCAAATAGTGATTTTCCAAAAAATCCTTGAAACTTCCTAGAAAACTTTAAGTATTATGATTCACAGGTAGACTGGTACCTCCACTCACGCTCTTTCTAATGGCGAAAAGCCGAGCTCAATAGCTATAAGCGTTGCCAAGTTATTCAACAAACAACTGAGTCCATTCTTTTTTGAAATGGATAATAGTTAGCTTAAAAGTCAATTATTAGAAAATTTCGAATTTTCAAATATAGAATAATGGCTCTTGTAAGAAATGAAAATTATCTATGCAACGCTTCATATGTATTTTTCTTACATGACAATACGTAGATAAAATTTCTTTAGTAAGGCCAAGAATATAACTTGACAATACTATTTTGTTTCCATTATTCGTATGAAAAAGAACTCTAAATAAGGTTCTATTACCAACCAAAATGTCAGTTCATTCGAGTTTACTGAAGTGAACATATTTCAATTTTTTATCATAGTGCCCTTCGTAACCCATATTGTACATGATTCAGTATTTCAATTGTTTAGCTTCATATCGTGTATGAGAAAATACGATGATTTATAGACATAAAAAACGCTTGTTTATTATCTTTATATACGAAAATCACATACAATCTCCGACTTTTCTCCAAAGATGGTCACGAAGAAATACGATACTAATACTGAGCCATGTCATACGGTAGAATACGATCATTAGCGCACGTATGCGAACTTCTCATTCCTACATATCTTGGATTGTGACGCATAAAATGATTTGTGAGGTAAGAACAACACCAGAATGTCTCTGATTGTCCCTAATGAATACAATTTTGTTTTCTACTCTCTACCATGTTGTGAATACCGAATATTTTTTTTTCACTACTTGGAAAATATATACACGAGTGTGTGTTGACGATGGTAGCAAAATGTCTAATCGCTTGAAAAGCGAGAGAAGAACATTTAATTGTTTATGTCATCTATCAGTGCTATCTTATTCAAAAGAGCTTATCTCATCTATTCTCTTCATATTCTTCTTATCTTAAAAATATTCTAGAAATGATTTCATCTTTCTTTTTTCCTCATTTACTTATATTCCAATAACAATATACGTATAATTAAGGTTAATACGATGCAATAGTCAAGGTTGTCAACTGAAATCGTTCGTCTGCATTCATGTTGATGACACGTAAAGCAATTTAACTGTCGCGTGTTCAACTATTGAAAAGTGTCCTTTTATGATATTCTCAAAATATTATCTCGCATTCTGGATAAGGAAAACCCACCCAACCGTTTATATCTCTTGGATCAAACACCGAAATAACAAAAGTTAAGATTTATACCAAAGCTTTTTTATTCATAGCTTACTCGTATTTGATCCATCCTTTCTATTCCTATTCAATTATCACAGCTACGGAACTCAGTTCAATGATCACTGGCAAGTAAAATTCCTGTTTATATTATTAACCTTCATGTCATTGTTACTAGTATGATTTTTTTGCTGAGCATTGATGACATTCCTCATCTTAAAAAATAACTTAGTCAGTATTCCCAACTATCAATCATACATAAAGATATATGCCACTAAAGCAAAGAAGAATTTTTGGAAGCGTTTTCAAACATCCTAATGTGTGAAGCTGCTTAAAAAGGCAACTTTTGCATCTCCAAAACGTGCAAAAAAATTTTCTCGTAATATTTTGACATGTTTTGCTGATAAAAATGAACTTTTTATGCATAGTGTATGTCAAAAATACTGTGAAAAAATTTTTTTTGGACATTTTTCAGATGTAAAAGTTGCCTTTTTAAGCGACTTCACGCATCTTTTATAGCGAAAGTAGCTGGATTTTATGCGTTTTGAATGGATATATAAACGCTCAAATGAGAGTCGCGATTAGGATGTTTAAGTGCGCATTCAAAAATTCTTGTGTCCTCAGGTATTAAAACAACAGAGATAGTAGACTGATACCGATGTCAAAATATTTTTCTTTGCAAACACAAAAGCCGCCGTATAGTTGGTTGCATCATTCTCGTTATTTTACGTCATGACAAGAGAACAAATGCTACCATCAACACGACTCATCTGAAATAAGTGTCCCAAAATGTAAGCAATCATCAAGGTATCAGTAATGTCTACAACAGGTCTTGAAGTCTATTTGATATTTGTTAAAGTGTTGAAATCCGTTGTTTCTCTCTCTTTCTTTTACTAGGACATGGTCAGGTATTGATTAACTCCATATAAGGAGGGTTCGAACTTAAAAGTAAAGAAAACTAAGTTTACCATTGAGAGGAGCACGATTGATAGTATTTACAACGGAAGCGTTTCTATCCCTGCGCAACAGTGAATACTCTAGACGCGCAGAAATTTTCTTACAGTAGCCAACTCGAAAATTTGTTCAAAACATTGTGATAAAATACATCCTTTAAACAAGCATCGACCATTAGAAAAAAATTCTTCAATCAGATATTAATCGATAGAATATGAAGTACTCTTTTCACATACGATTTTCCTACAAATCTTAGATGTCTACAAACCAAGGTAAGGCGCTCAAAAGCTATTTCTATTTTTGATGAAATTTCATAATGAAACTCGCATATAATGTATATTGCTCGTTTATGTTGATAATCTTTGCAACAAAAACGACGCTGTTAGCTGAAATTGAACGAGTTCTACCGAACACAGCCATTTTGAGCGTAGTTTAATTTAATGTTCGCATCTATTTTTTAGAAATACTGCATTATAGAATGTCATTACTATCTGCAAATCATGATGTTTTTAGACCATTAAGCATTTGCACTGTTTTTGTTCATAAGTTGTACATATTTAGAATTAACATTGCATTCTGAACAAAATGGAGTATTTATATTATCAAAACTTCAACTTTGATTTTTCTCGAAAATTTCTTTAGTTGGATACTAGTAAAAAGTACCCTATATCATGCTGAATCCGATGCTGGTGACGAATATCTGATTGATTTTGACTTTTTTTGCTTTCATCCTGATCCAAATTACAATTTCTAGAAAAAAAAACATAAAACTTCGTAATGACTTCTACTTTTAGTTTGTTATTGAATGTCGTTATGCTTGTTAAGAAATGACCTAATATTTTGAAAGCTTCTTAAAAAGTGAGCAACTTTCATATATAGAAAGTCTAGCTGTATAGCACTTCATTTCGTCGTAAAATGCTAAACTCTCAGCTCCGTTAAAAAAGATTTTCGTAACAACCGGTATGTTTTGAATTGTTTAGCTCGAGCTACAGGAGAATCAAAGAGATTTTTACTGATAGTAAGTCTAAATAGTCTCTATTTATAATAGTTTTAGAGAATTTCCTTTTGTTATGGGCGAGAAATAGATGTTACAATGTAAAAAAATGCAAGACCATATAACGCTTGGTCACGCGAACTATCAATAGGGACAAACGTGCTGTTCTTTATAAGTGTCTTTTGATATTTTCGTTTTTCTCAGAAACAAAAAAAGGAATATGATTTATGATCAGTAAAATAAATGGAATAGTCAGAAAAATGAAATAATTATAAAATCAGTCAATTTAATGATTGATCAGTAAATTACTTCAACGATCAGTTCTTAATTAATTGGGTTTGTAAATAGGTTTAAAAATCAGTAAATATAATTTATTAACAGTCGATTATATTAAAAGGTCACCATAAAAATTGGAATGGTTATAGAGTAAATCACTTTTGTTCTTCTTTTCGTTTGTCTTCAGGTGTTCTACATATGTTCTCGTTCTTCTGACCTACTTCTTTTAACCTGCACATGTTGTAAATAAGAATCATTGTTTTGATTCTTCTTATTGTTCACTATCTAAAACAAAGGAAAAGAAACTTTTTGACTTCCCTAGTCCTTGCTCAGATCAAACAAGCACGGTCGTATACGGAGAAATACGTCGGTTTACATGGTCCAGTATTACAGTCGTATACGGAGAAAGAAACGGTTCTTTAAGATACTCGTATATGAAGTTCGTATACGGTCTCCATTTTACTCCATATACGGTCACGGTCATATACGACCGTTAATACTGGACCATGTAAACTGCCAAAATACGACCATTTGTGGTCGTATAGGGAGCGTATACGAAGTTCGTAATCATCGACCTGGGAACTAAACAATTATCTTGTCTATTATAGAAAAAAGAAACTTAGTTCACATAAAGTTTTGCTGAATTAGAACAATGTTGTGGAAATAATCAAAATATTCCAACTGATGAAAATAAATCTTTTGTTGTATCATATAAGATATTATATGAGGATGAAGATGTACAAGATAATGGTGGATACAAATTTTGTATCTTTATATCATCGGTTCTTTTGCTAAGCATTGCATCTATGTTACAATATATACATGGTGATGCCACTTATAAATTGGTATGGCAAGGTTTTTTAGTACTATTTATTGAAACAACTGATTTAAAAAAAGCATTTTATCCCTTTAGTTTAGCAATATGTTTAAATGAAAAAACAAAAGATTTTCAATGTGTCTTCAGGAGTCTTCAAATTGGTGTGCAAAAAGGGAGTGTATGGGGGTATGGCTATTCCTTTGAAACATTGTAAACCATCAGCACTAGCAAAGACAGTGCCGAATGGTGAGAAGAGCAAAAGAGATAGATCAGCAAAGACTAAATCTGCTTTACTAATACAATAGTTCAATTCAATTTTCATTTTTTTTAATCATTCTATAGAATTTCTTCTTATTTTTGTGGTTCTGTATTTTATTGTCTACTGGTAAATTTTGTATTTTTTTACTGATATAAATTGAAATTTTTTACTGCTACTTATATTTAATAAACTGACCATTTTACAATTAATTACTAGTAATTTTAGTACTAATCATTTCCTTTACTTTACCGATTACTTAAGTGACAGTCAATAAAAAACTAGTAGCTTTGATTTATGGTTCGTTTATTGTAATATGACATTCGTTTAGGTTTGCATGCTTGTTAACAGCTATAAAGGGACGATATGCACTGTAGAGAATGACATGGCTTTAAAAAATGTTTCAAGAAAATGGCGAAAAAAAACAGCATGTTTTTCACTTTTATTACATTACTTTGGTTGTTCACAATATCAATGTTTCCTATCATTGTTAAATACTTTCAACACTTTTATAAACTATTTTTCAACACTCAATATTATGCTATTTGAACTTATGTAATATATACGGTCCATTCATTTTTTGGTAACACATATTTTAAAATACGTGTCCCCGTATTCATTGTAATCATCCGTTCTATTCGATTCTTTTTCTTTTTTCATTGGAACACGCACGTGTTTTTATAACATTTGAGCATAGAAAGACACTCACATAGCCATTAAGTCATTAATTTTTATGAAGACACAGGTAAATGTTCGTATCTAACATCATATATGCATTCATTCATACGGCAAGAAATATTACACTGCTGTAACTGACTGATTCATTTATTACAATTCTCATGACTTGATCTTTTTCTTTTGAATTCTATCCGTGCGTAGTAAAGTTTAATGTATGACTAAATGGTGATTAACAAAAATGAGTAATGTTTTGTATCTCAAATAAATACTTCCTTAGACATTATATTTAAAATGACTTTACATTCAATAACATAGAAATCAAACTATTTACTTCCTTTCTCTCTTCGTCATTATTTGATTATGATAAGGTAGATGATAACACTCCTATCTACGTAGTTATTACTATTATTATCTTATTTTTTTGTATTACTATCAAAGAACGAGTAGGAAAGAAGAAAATAGTCTAATTTGTTTGATCTTACTTTTACTTATATGTTAAGTCATTTTCAATTTAATACCTGAACAAGTATCTCATTGAGTTATGAAACTTTACTAGTTTTTATTTTTTAATTATTCGATTAAATAAAAAAGAAAAGAATTTACTCATGTTAGATATAAATATAACCTTCTCATTAAGAGAAAGATTATTGCTCATTATATAATTCGATAGACGAATTAAAATATAGTGCTAAATACACAGAAATTCGAAATGTAAATATGACAGATTCTTAGTAAAATGCTGAAATTGATTCAAAATAATTTTACTACACCAAAATCTTAGTACACAAGTAAATTCTTAAAGTATAAGCGACTGAATATTTCTCGTCAAGTGTAGATATACTACACAAATACTTTTATTGAGTGTAACTCATCAGATTAATGAAATAGCTAGTACCCAACACCAAAAAATAAGTAGAAAAAAAATGAATGTTAAATTTTCAAATGTAAAAATCGATCTTTGAGTGCTTTGAAATGAAGATGTCGATCTTTGTTGGCTTTTTCAAACACTGCTCGATTTTCTTGAGCCCGTCGAAATAAATACGGTTGTAATGATTCAATTGGTCCATATGGTAAATATTTGTATGTTTTATAACCAGAATTGGCTACAAATACTTATATTATCAAAAAATAAAATTAATTTTTTTATAATTACCTAATGCAAAAGCAACATAATCACTCATTCCATAGAGTGATGCAAATGAAATCACTGATGAATCACGATTTATATTATTATCTTGCATTCTAAATAAATAAGAAAATCCAAAAAATAAACAACTCAACGAACTTAATTTCATACATACTTTTGAATAGCATATCGAATAGTATCTTCATTATGTGAAGCAACCATAACTCGAACTTGACCAGAACTACGTTTGGCAATACTTTTTAATACTTCATCAAAACATACATGATACATATTTGATGTAGCTTCAAAATTTTCATTAAGCGGATCTTCATATCCATATTGTTGTGCTAAACGACGTTCTTGTTCCATATAAGCACCACGTACAAGTTTAGCAGCAAATATATAATTATATTTTTCAGCTTGAGCCAGATCATGTTTTACAGAAGCGAATGTTTCCTATTTATTATTAGTATGTAAATCAAAAACTAAAAAGAATTCTAGTTAAAAGATCATTTACTTTTAAATAACATTGATATGTTCCATAAATAAATGTCTCATTATTTTTATTATAATATCGTTGTAATTCAGTTGCAAGATAATTAATTGCAGTTTGAAAATAAGTTTGTTCAGCATCAACCATAATTGAAATTTTCTGTTCAACACATGTCTAGGAAAATTTCGTTATTAGAATAAATAAATCAAATTAAAAAAATTGTTCATCTTACTTGAGCTATTCGATTTAAACGGATGAGTAGATTATAAATTTCAGTTAAATCATCATTTGTAAGGGTTATGCTGGTTGATATTTTATTCTAAAATTATCCCAAAAAAAAAAATCATTTATAGAATTTCATTCTTTAATTGTCAACAAAAATTTTTAAAAACCTTTAATATACAAGATAGTACCTTAGTTTCTGCTAAATACGATTTGATCGATTGTTGAAATGGTTTAACCATATTCTCATTTTTTTGTTCTTGATTAATGAATTCAAATAAAGGTGGTAATAATGAACGATTTTCAACAGAGTTTAATAATGCATTAAACTTTTTAAGTACACCTGGACTTATAAGAGCAGTTACTTTTATTGCGACTAAATTATTTACTCCACAAACATCATGTGATGTTTTGATACATTCAATAAATTTACTGGTATTATGATCGTGCATACGATCGTTCTCATCTGGCCTATAAATTTCAATAGATCAATTCAAAAAAAAAAAGTAATCTTTGATTAGAAAAATATCTGTTAAACGAACTTACGATAATGATTTACCAGTATCATCACTTTCTACACTATAATCTAAAATAGGTTTGACACCATATTGTAGTAAACTTTTAATAACAGGTGTAATTTCTTGAGGAGTTTCACCGCCAACAAAATGTCCAAACGATGTCAGTTTTATAACATCTTGAAATAGTCGAGTACCAAGAATACGTTGACCCCATTCAGCAATCTAATAAAATTGTACGTAAAAAAAACACCTTTAGTTCTTTTTCTAATTATTTTACTTTGGATTGATTATTAACAAGAAAATTAATTGAAAATAATCGATAAACAAGATAACCACGTAAGAGTTCAATACTACGTCGATAACGATAGGCTATTTGATATTGATTAAATCTCGTATCAAGTAATGGAAATTTTGAATGAATGTCTTGTTTCTCTTTCTTATCTGTTGTTAAAACAGTTGTTGATTGAAAAGAAATTTGCTTTGTAAGTAATTGTCTAGCTTGACATGAACAAATAATTGATGTCGAAGGATATAAACGTTTTATCTAATGAAAGAAGAAAAATTGCTTACAACTGATAATCTTCTTTCGCAAAAGGAGTAAATGCTTACTGTTAACATGATGTTTGCTTTTGCGTATTAAATTATATAAATAAAAGATTACCAACTTAATAAATGCGTATGTATATCTATATATATATACCTATCGATTTACTAACATGGAGCAATTTACTTATGACGCACACACCCCTTTTTTTGATGGGTTTTTTTCTTATATGAATAGTCGCAATTGTGAAAGAACGCAAAAGATCGATATTATTTCTTCTATACAGTGAAGAAGACAACTAGAAAATAATTATTTTTGTGCATGACACATCATCATAATATTACTCAACATTGGTCAGAGTAGCAAGAATTATACTTAAAGTATTGTCTAGCTATGGTTTATGACAATATATTTTTTTTCTTGGTATTGACAATAATAATAAAATCATTTCAATGGATTAATCATGAAACATTTTCACATGTGTTCGAAACTATTTTATTACTTTTACTCTAGTTTAGCGATGTTCATTCAACAATACAAATAAAACTTGAAGACCTTTCAATGGTATCGCAAAAAATTACCAAATAAAAATATCAAAATTTATTTATGGTTCTTAAGGTCAAGCACAAAGCATATTATCAATTTACTATTCTCTATTTTTCTTTTTTATGTAGAAAACTAAATGACCTTAAAAGTTTTGTTTTGAAAATGCGAAATTTTGATAACTAATTGAAACTGACAATGCTCCAATCTACTTTTACAAAATAGCAATAAAATTAGAATCAGAATTTTAATATATTTTAAAAGTTTAAGTAACTTTGAAAAGATGACAGAAAAGTGCTTATAACGAATAATATATTAAACATTTCAATACAAACCCAACAACCTTGTTCAGACTGACAAAAAGGTATCGTCATCTAATTCATGAGTCATATTCAAAAGTTTCCATGTTCTCCCTGGGGAACTACTTCTGTTTCATCAATGATCAACTCAATGATCTTCACATCCTACCACTAATCGACTACTGCATGACTAATTCGATTGCTTATCGTAGTGCATATTCTTTAGGGAATTGTAAATCGTGAGAAAGATTGAAAATTGAGCCTAAAAGTCTAGTTTCTTCGATACTACGAATAAATAAAAACACAAGCACTAATACATATAACCTACAATCTACAATAATTTCATTGAAAATATTGTTTAATATTCTCTATGTGTAATTTATAGATTGAATAACAATAAAAGACAAGACATATGTATTATAAGTACCAATAACATATAAATGAATAATTTTATTCAAAAATATAGTCATATCTGATTTCAATTAGATTCTCTAATTTTGAAACTTTCACTCATGATAGATTGAATTACAACTATTGTTAACCAAAGAAATTTATCACAGATTATAGATCGAATAATTCTGTTTATGAATATGATTGTTCTCCACTGTCTCATATTCATGATGAAATAGAAACAATGTTTAGTATGAATTCAACATTCTCCTAACTTCCATCAGTTCGTCTTCGTATAGTTCTAAACAATATTGATATTTATCAAATATGAATACGTTTTGATAGATAAAAAACTGTCATACATAATCATAATTTAATCCAGGAAATTCTCCAAAGACCAAGTATTGCATCAAATTCAACTTCTAATGATTATCGAGAAATGATCATTTACGCATCTGTAACTATCAATGATACTTGCTATTATGATCTAAAGTCATTATAATATGCAAAAACAAAAGCTAACTAATTATCAAGTATAATATAACTATCAATTTATGACTAACATATTTCTTTTGTCTATTATTCTTTCATAGAATCTTATGAACAATTAGTTATTGTTCGACATTGATATCTTCACGTAATTCCTTGTGTATGATTATATTAATGTACCAAAATCATTCTTTTAATATATTTTATTACTAAAATTACTATCGGATGTGAATAATGCATATTGTTCGATATTGTCTCGCTATATTTATATATGTTAATCCGTAAATGAGTATTGAACTCCTTAATTATCACCATGAATATTCGCGTTACCATTGTCAGCTATTTTTCAATGTTAATTACTGTTCCTTGATCCAACAATCATTAAATGTAAAATATTTCGAGCATCTAAACAACATCCAATTACAGTCGAAAAATGACATCTTTACAAACAAATAAAATGTCTCTATCAAAGCATCATGCATTAAAGTGGACATTACTTATGTTGATTCGAAGCAATATCTTAATGATCAATGATATCATAATGTCGAAATTTGTTTTGTTGATATATTTTCGTTAATATTTACCTTTCAATGTTCTTGTAAATTAAAAGGATTCCGTGTTTTTCCCAAATTTTATAAGTCATCTTATTTGTGAATATTATAACCTGAACATATACAATACCATATCAGTTCATGAATACTTTCAACGATTGGTATTCAGCACAATAATACTCATCAAAGTTCCGCGTGGGATGGAACGATCCCATTCTATCCCATCCTGTTCCATCAGTCCCATCCCATGCAAGGCTTTCAAAAACATTCTATCTGACGGAATGCAACAAAGATCTCACGGGATTCCATGGGACAAATGTCTTTTACAACAACCTTTTTTTTGATAAAGACAACACAATTGTTTTGAAATAGGTGTTTTTCTCGCCAAAATATAAAATGAGTTATATGATAAAATTATAAAATACAAAATGAAATGATATAAAATTTAGTAATAGTTTGAGGGTCGAAAGTTTAGAGACAATATGTGGTTTCATATTTTGTCTCATTAAGGATCCAGTGAAAATTTCAAAACCTTCAATTAGAATCAGAACTTTGTGCTCTTTCTGAATATAGATTCAGAATTTTTGTGGAACTCATGTGTTAGGAGCTGTGAGCTAATCTTTGCAAGGTCTTAAAATAAAGTTTGGAGGAAGAAAGTTACACTAACAGCTCTAAAGACGAAGAATAGGACCGTATCCTGTTTGAAATTAGTTTTCTGATCGTTTTAAGCAATTTTTTTGGCACTTCAGTATTTCTGTCGTAAACACACATATTTCACTTAGTCCCATTTTTCTTTGTTTGACTGCATCAAGTTTTGAAGATTTTCTAGATCAGCACTTAAACAGTAGATGTCCCACTCAACAATTATGTCCCCTATAGCATACGTTTACTAGCAATTTTTTTGCGCGGCATGAAGAGCAACACTGTGCTCTACAAAGTACAATAAGAACCGAGGATCTTGCAGCAATTCTTCAGAAATGACCGAGTTCATTTTGTAACTCTGAAAATCAAGGAATTACAAAAGTATCACTGTCACTTTTGCCAAAGCTCTCGTTATTGATAGACGCCTTACGGATAACAAATGACCAGAATATTATTCTGTAGAGAAATATTTGCTCTTCTGTTTGATGTTTTTGAAATAAATTTTAGTTCTATTCTAGATGACTTTTGCGCACTAAAAGCCGTTCAAACTTTATCTTCAGACCTTTCAAATACTAACTCATAACTGCTAACCTATGAGTCATACAAAAATTCTTTACTTAGATTCGGAACGAACATATAATTCTTATGCTAAATTAAGATTTTAAAACTTCTGCTTGTCCACTTCATCGGTCGAAAAATGAAGGAACATTGTGTCTCAAAACTTTCGGTCCATCCATCATTAATGAAAATAATGCGTTCAGAAAAATTTTTTAAATATATGACGACCGTGAAGTTCCATGGGATACAATGGAAAATTTTGCGTCCCATCCCATCCTACGCGCAGCCCTGATACTCGCAATACTAGTGTTAATCTACATATTATTCGTACCAATTCCTCTACTTTCAATCTACAACATATTCATATACCTTGTACTTCGATGTTGCCTATATCATCTCAATATTTCTCAAAAATAGTATTGATCATTTAACAATCAACAAATTGTTTTCGGCAAGCTTCGACTATTAAATTTTGTTTTTTTACAGTAGACAACAGCTTCTTAAGTCATATGAGGAAAGTCTCCCAACTGATAAATCGCCTTTGAGTCGAGACTATGTGCATTATGTAGAACTAAATGAACTATGAATGTCCTGAAAACAGTTCAGGCTCCTAGGCTATTACTGTCGAAATATTGTACTTTTACGGTAGGTTTTAAATGAATGCCGTAGTTCTCTTCAAGAACACCAGGAATACTTATTTTGAAATTTTGATTTCAAACTTTTTACAGAGGTAATTCTTAATGAGAATAGTTTATTGTGAAAATTTCAAGTCTTTTGATCTGCTTCTATAGTGAAATAAGAACATCAAATCTATTGTTACATATGACCGATGTAAAAGATACGCTTTTACCATAAATATATCTTAAGATAATAACAATCACAATAAACTATTCTCATTATGGACTTTCACTGTGCAAAGTTTCAAGTTGAACTTTAAAAATCAGCTTTCCCGATGTTCTTGAGAGAGACCATAGTACTCATTTAAAAGCTATTATGCAAGTGCAATATCACGGCAGCAACAAGCTAACAGCTTGATCTGTTTCCCGTGCATTCCTAGTTCATTAGGATCCACATAAAGCACATAGACTCGAATGATTTATCAGTTGGACGACTTCCTTCGTTAGACAAAGTATGAGCAATGTAACTTGCTTTTCATCATCTATTCCTTGTATACATATTAATAACAACAAATATATCATTTGCTGAATTCACTTTATGTTTTTTTTAGCAAAAAAAAAAACAAAAACAAAACACAAAACTTAAAAATTGACTTGTTGTCGAAAATGATGTTGATGCATATTATTTCTTACACCAAGTTTCATATATTGATTTGCTTTCCATTGTTGCATATATTTAAGATCGCGAACTTTTCGTTGAAATACTTCTCCTAAAAAATTTGAATATATTGATTCTAGTTTTGTTTTATATAATTAACAAACCTGTTGTTCCTGGACCAGACCAACCAAGTGCTCGATATTTATCTTTAAGTCTATTAACAAGTTCTAGTGATCTTTCATTATTTCGATTTGTTAAACTTTGACGATAATATCGAACAAGTGTTCGATGTCCAACTTTTTTACCAGATGGTAATACTAATTCATA